CTGGTATTGCTGAAATGAAATAGCAAATACCGAAGAAGGCGTCATGTCCCCTTTTGAAATAAAGTGATCTATCTCCACCCAAGTGCTATCTCAGCAAATAAACGAATTAAAATATGTAAACAGTATACCAAAAGTGAAAAATAACTCTCAAACTGTATTGATGAAATCAATGTTTTCTGTTTAATACAGATTGATCTTAATTTTTTGAGGCTTTACAATAGTGTATTAGTAATGAGGTCAATTTAAAGACCATTTTCTTCAGTGTCGTTAATACTTTTTGGCCGTCTGAGATTGAAACATTCAGCAAGATATCTTGTTAGAAAGCAACACATCGCAATCGCAGACGAAACCCGGAATCGCACAGAACTGCACCTCCATCGGTGGATGGTACCAAACAGTCCTCCGTTTCCAATGGANCAGAAACCCCAACCGATCTGAGATTGTGAGACGAAGCAAGTCATTGAGAATTAGAGTGTGGGATTCGGTTATTCGCTTTCCTTCAGGAATAGCCAGCTGTGATTGGAACACCTAAAACCAATACCGAGCTACTTCATAAAGTTATGTGGATGAAGTCAAGCTTGCTCTTCCGCATGTCCTGTCAGAAGTGTATTAGTCAACAGGGATTGTAACATCACCAAATTAACACCCNCGAATCTATTGAAAGAAATCTAGGCTGGAGTAGGTCATCGCCTAAATACAGAAAACCATCAAGTTAAAAAAAACCAGACCCTACCCGATCTGTTCTCTAAAGAAGACGCAAATAGGAATGATGAGAACAACAGCCGCACACGTATACCTGACAGCACAGCGATCGCTTCTATTGTGGAACCGAAATATCTTTCTATATCTGAGATCATTCAATAGATAAAGACAATGCACCTTGTCTAACTGGCTTCAAAGCCACCAATGAACGGTTCAGTTCCAGCAGCTTTAGTTGTCTTTTAGCTATCTGTTTCGATGAAGCAGTAGAGGGAAGAATAAGAAAACTGAAAAAACAACCGCGGTAAATATAAATAAAATTAACATGAGACAAGAAACTCCCTGGGCGCACTAGTGCCACTGTTAAGGACAGTCAGTTATATCACCCAGAGTCTCCAACCCTTAACGAGACCGATCTCGAAGCCCTCAATT